TTGTATTGAAGTTAATAATTCTCTGGAGCTTAATCACTGGTGACATTTTTTTTATTTATAAATTTGCATGTTTCTCTGTTATGAATATAGAAGACTGAAACTGATTTTTTTTTATCTTTTGCTTTTGTTTTCCTTTTCTTATTCTCCTTCTCTTTAGTTAGAATACATCTGCATTTCTTCTCTCTGTAATGTATCCCATGTTGGAATTCAGAATTTATATGATTGTACAGTATTACAGGATAAATTACATGATATACACATAGCACACAAATATATATGTTCCCTAGTGGCAAGAAGCTGTGCTGCAATCTTGAAGGGAAGGTTTGAATCAATCAGCTGTTCTGTGGGAGAAGAATGGACATTTTCCTCTCCTACAATTAGAACCAAGCTATGGGTTGGTTCCAACTCAATGATACACAACAACAATAACATACTTTAAAGGGAGCTCTAGTGGCTTCTTTTTGTTGTTGTTATGTGCCATCAAATCCTCTATACGTCATAGCAACCCTATATACAACAGCATTGAACTTTGCCCTATCCTGACACAGTCTCGCCTAATCACCTTTCCCCAGTTATCACGTCTATCCATCTCATCCAGTTTCTCCCTTTCCTGCACTGTCCCTCTACTCTTCAAGTGTGAGTTCCTTCTCCAAGGACTGGTCTCTCCCAGCCATGTGCCCAAACTATGTGAGATGTCGCTTCAAAATCCTTGCTTTTAAGGAGAATCTTAGTTTCACTTTCTCCAAACAGACTTATTTGTTCTCCTACTAGTCCATGGTATGTTGAATACTCTTCTTCAGCACCACAACTCAAAGTCATCAGTTCATCATCCTTAGTCATTGTCCAGCTCTCTGATGCATAGCACTCAATTCCAAAGACCATGGCCTGGATAGAGTACACCTTCGTCTTTAGACTGAAATCACTGCTCCTCAGAACTCTAGAGAGGTCCCTGACAGTAGACTTCCCCAATGCAATTTGTATTTTGATTTCCTGTCTGCTGGTACTAAGAGTGTTGAGTGTGGATCTCAGCAAGCTGAAACTGTTAACAACCTTAGTGTCTTCTCCATCTCTCATGAAGCTGTCAATTGGCACAGTGGTGAGAATATTTGTCATCTTGATGTTAAATTAAATCAAAGACTGCATTCCTAGTAGATTAGTGGTAAGAAATTTCACTGCCGATGCAAAAGTGCACATAGATACTCCACAGGAGAAAGATGGGCAATCTTCCAATGAGATTTAGTACCTCTGAAAACTCACTGGAAGGTCAGCTATGGTACACAGAACAGAAATATATACCTTAAAAGGAACTCTGCCATCATAGTCCATAGGGAGTTGTGCTGCTAACACAAAAGTGACACCTCTCTGGTGGTTTAAACTGGCTCTGGAAGAGAAAATGGGAAGTCTCTTTCTGTGCAAGTTATTGTCTAAGAATCGATATGCTCAAGGGTCAACATGAGTTGGTTCTGAATCAATGACAATGAATTTAAGTTGTTTGGGGTTGTTTTGGTTTTTTTTTTTTTGTTAAATACAAGTATATTTCAGATTATATATTGTGGATGTTGTTAGGTGAGTGAGTGGGGTCAAGTAAGACTCATAGCAACCCTATGACTAACAGCCCTGGATCCTGTCCCAATCTGTGCCGTACTCATCATCTCTGATGCTCTTGAGCTCACTGCCACAGTCCCATGTTCATCTACCTCCCTGATTGTCTTCTCTTTCTATGATCCTCTGCCTTTCCACACACAATGTCCCTTTCCTAGGAATAGCCTCTCCTAACAATTTGAGGGACAAAGTTTTGCCATCCTTGCCACCACGTGCACTCTGGCTGCTCTTATTCCCAGACATATCTATTTGTTCTTTTGGTAGTCCATGACATATTCCATACTCTTCTCCAATACCACAACTCAAAAGGATACATTCTTCTGTCATCCTTATTCATTGTCCAACTTTCAGATACATAGCAAGTGATTGAAAAGCTGATGGGCTGAGTCAGGTATGACTTAGTCTTCAAACATACTGTGGATAAAGACAATTAAATTTAGTTCTTCAACATAATAAGTAATTTTTATTTTATTGCATTGTAAATCCTTTAGGTTTGTTTTGTTGTTGTATAGGTTTTGCTGTTTGTTTTTTTTTTAAGAAACTCTAAACACTGAATTAATAGGCTGAGCATTAAAAACTGTGTATATTAAACAACAAACCAGGCGAATATTTGATCTGACTTGTAAATCAGCCCTCTTTATTTGCAGAGACACTCTGACCTACTTGTTGCTCCTCTCTGTACCTCATGTTCTCTCCTAGAAAGCGTGTAAACCTTTTCAGTCTTCATTGCAGAACCCTGGAACAACATGTCACAAAGCCTTCTGTGGGTATGAATGATATAACAATTCCTGACTAAAATATAAAAGAAAATCAGGATATGACAGGGAATAGAAACTCTATTAAAATAAGTTGTAAAGAATGAAAATGTTACCTTCTACTTTGATTATTTGATTTTTTTTTTAAATCAACCCTTACACAGTGGCCCTAAAAGCTGACATTGTGAGAGGAATGCTAACGTCACAAGAGATGTTTTCCCACTTCCTGAACCACTCAGCTTCTCAGGTATCCTTGCCTTCTAACAGAAATGTGCAGGGATTCTGTGTTGACCAGACAATTGTCTCTGTGCTTGTCAAAGCAGGAAATGCATCAGGTTTATTTATCATCACCCAGAAGCACTGATGGACAGGGAAAGTGGGGAGGTGGGCAAAGTATACACCCCACAAGATGGACCAGTTTTTTTTGTTTTGTTTTGATATTGGTTGGGGTTCCTTTTAAGTTTTTTTCGGGTTTTGGGGTTTTTTTTTTGTCCTCATTCCACCCCAAGACACGTACTTTCTCAGGGACAGTGAACAACTAAGAGGGGAGGGGGGAAGAGGGAGAAAAAGGGGGGGAAGAGAAAGAAAGAGACAGACAGGGAGGGAGAGAGGGAAAGGGAGGGGAGGGGAGGGAGAGAGAGGGAAAACAATATGGTTAAATCATAAACTCTATATAATTAAAGTATCATTTCTCTGATGAAATTTATGTGTAATTCACTTACCACTCCAGGCCAGCAACGTGGGCTCTAATGTTACCATCCTGAACACCAATGAAGGCAGTCAGAAGGCAGCACAGCTTGCCCTTAGGGACTCATTTCTCACATCACCAAAAAGTAATTTCCGTCAGTTTTGGCCATCTGGTGGCCTGGATTGTGAACATGAAGATTCATTCATCTATTACTGAAGAGCACGGGCTCTGGAGCATTCCTGGCTTCTATCTGTGCTCCATCTCTCACCTCACTCTGTCTCTGCCTGACTTTCACACTCATTAATAAAAATGAAAACTTTAACAGTGACTTCCTTATAGTATTTCCTTTTTATGAGGTGGATTTTACTTCCATTTTATGAAGAGTTATTTATAATACTTGTAAAATACTTCACACAATGTCTTACACATAGTAAATACTTAATGTTGTTGCTGTGTGCCATCAAGTTGGAACCAAATCATAGCTTCTGATCACTAGGCCATCAGGGCTCCCCTCATGGAAGTGGGGTCTGACAATGTTTATCTGTTAGTGACTGACTTATTTCACATAGCATTCTAAGTGTTATTATTAGTGTTATAATAGTAGTAGTGTTTCTGTAATATTTACCTCTCTGATTTTGTTATGGTAGTGTTGTGTGCATGTGAGTCAGAACCTATCCATACCTTACCCTCCAACAGGCTTTCAGGGGCAATTAATTGCATGGAAGAATATTTCCCATCCTTCTCTCACAGGGCAGCGGCTGTATTTGAACCACGTGCCTTTGGGATTGGAGCGTAGCTTCTTGCCTTTAGGCCACCAGAACTTAATTTCTCTCTTATTAATTCACTTATTAAGCTCTAAAGTACACCATCTGGACCATTACACACCCAGATGCTATTTAGAGACTATTGTAGTGATTAATCCATGAATTATTTATATGACTAGATTATAAGTAGCTAGGACTTGTCATATCTGAATGTCATGTGGCAGTTTTATACGAAATAACACTGACTTCCTTCCCTGGCATTTGCAAGAGAACTTGGTTTATATTCATTGTTGTTTTTGTGTACCATCAAGTCAATGATGACTCATAGTGATCCAATGAACAGCAGCCCTGAATCCTGTCCTATCCTATATCTGACACACATGTCCCCATTGCCACCATCACTGTGTCAATCCATCTAATCTGAGGTCTTCCTTTCCTGTGCTGACTTTCCATTCTTCTAAGCATGATATCATTCTCCAAGAACTGGTCCCTCCTGGCAACAGGCCCAAAGTAAGTGAGACGAAGTTTCAAAATCCTTATTACGAAAAGCAATGAAGTTTCACTCTCTCCAAGACAGATCTGTTTATCCTCTTGGCCATCCATGGTATGTTTGATAAGATTAAGTGATCAGAGAAAATTGTATTCTTGTTTAAATATTCATGGTCTCTAATATTTTGGTCAAGGTGTTAGAGGGGGCCTTTCCTTGGAAAGGTGGAGGATCAGCAAAGGGGAGGAAGACTCTCAACAAGTAAGAATGGCACATGGCTGTAACAATGAGATCCACTATTCCAGAGATCATAAGGGTGACACAGAATAGGACAGGGTTCAATCTGTTGTTCACAGGGTTGCTTTGAGATACTTTTGAATCAATAGAACCTGACAATACCCTATCCAAATAAGGTGTATTCTAAGCAAAAGGAGCTAAGACATTTTCATTACACTATTTTGGACTTTTTTTCATCCATAATGGAGAGCATTCCTACTTTAATGCTTCAGGTTCTCCTTAAGAAACTTTATAAACGGATACAGAGAATGGATCTTAAAGCACTTTGACTCTTTAAAGATAATTTCAAATTATCTAAACTATAAAGCAACTTAGCTCCAATTTACTGTTTCAGTTGAATGGATCATTTTCATAAGCCTGCTCTTACTGATCTGGCTTAATTATGGTACTTCCTTTTGTCTTTACAGTCCCACCAAAGATCTCCAACATCTCCTCAGATGTCACTGTGAATGAGGGTAGCAATGTGACCCTGGTCTGCATGGCAAATGGCCGTCCTGAACCTGTTATCACCTGGAGACACCTTACACCAACTGGTAAGCAATCTTCCAGCATCCAAGCTGCCAAGCTTGGTTAAGATATGTTGCCAAATGACAAGAGTCCAGAATAAAAGCTGCATAGTAAAGTGGTATGGGGTCAGGGGGGACTGTATGACAATGAAAGAACTTTAAAAAAAATGAACTGGGGGGTGGGAGGGGAGGGAGGAAAATGTGCACCAATGAATGAATGGAAATTCAAGTTCTTTGTAAACTGTCATTAAAATATCAACTTAAAAAATTACAGAGGGGGAAATGTATGCTGCCAAGATTCCACTGGGTCAAAATAATAGCATACATCTCATTATTAAATACTAATGGCACAGGTATTGTTTAGGGTCCTTCTGATCTCTGTTGCAGAATTCACCTCTGTCAATTCTGCAACCACGGTACTATAAAAAAGAAGTTTTAGATCTCTGTTTCTATCTACCTACCTGTCCATTTATCTGTATACTTCTATCTCTGTATCTATATAAATAGAAAGATATACATAGCTATAGAATAGATATAGGTGATATATCCTACTATGCCATTAAAGAGATAAGTAGATAGATGATAGATAGATAGATAGATAGATAGATAGATAGATAGATAGATAGATAGAAAGATAGATAGAAGATAGATCCACTGCTCTCAAGTCAGTTCTAACTTATATTGACCCTAAAGAACAGAGAAGCTACTGCCCAAAGACTCCAAGGCTGTAGATCTCTACAGAATCAGAATGCCACATCTTTCTCCCTCAGAATGTCTGATGGATTCAAATCACCAACACTTTGGCTCATGGACAAGTGTTTTAACCACTGCAACAGCAGGGATCCCTTTATATGCACATACGTATGGGGAAACTCTGGTGGCGTGTAGCCCATAGTGAACTGTACTGCTAACTCAAAGGCTTTGCATCTCCACTGGTTTGAACCCACCAGCAGGGCCTTCTCAGTGTCATTTATAGCCTTGGAACCTAGACGGAGGGTCATCGTGAGTCAAAACTGACTGAAAAGCAGTGAGGGAGTGGGTGCTATATATGCTTATACTATTTATATATTACTCGTCATTTACTAGCACATATCTACAAGACAACAAGCATGGAGGTGTTGAATGATGTGATATTATAGCTGAAATATTTGACAGTGTGGTGCTAAAGTATCTTAAGCCGAAGTTGCCATGAGTTAAATTTTGGTTGGTGTTGTTTTCTTGAATGCTTGTTTTGTTTTGAACTAGAGATTGTTTCTTTTTATGTAGTAGTACCTTGTGAAGAAACCTGCCATCATATTTCATAATGGTTTGCCACTGTGATGACCTGTTCTTTACTCTGACACTGGGTGGGTGTCAGGTGTGAACCAAATGATTTAAGCTTGTTATGAGTCAGCAGCTACCACAGCTAATTCAGTAAAGAAGACAATTACTTCCCAGTAATCACTTCTGCACTACCCCTCCCTTACTCTCAACTATCATGCAGCTGGGTTCCCAGAACTCCTTACCTATTTATCTTCTTTCAAAAATTTAGCAAATCATTTAGAGTTACTTGGTTCATACTTACAGTAGTGACTGTACAGGGTACATGTCCTTATATGCAACATCTTGCCTGTGCAAATGATAAAGTCTTTGCAGATTAGGACTGCTGTGTCATTTGTCTTTTAAGTAACCTTATATATGTCATTTTTGGTAGATGTTCCCCAACATTTTCTTGACATTCTCTCAAAAAGAAAAATAAGGTCCACACACACATTCATTTACATACTCTCTATGAATTATTTTGTTCTAAAATGTAAGACTTTAATTGCTACAACAAATAACACTTTGTAACAATGGCACCTGGAGGTGGACAGTCAGTCTGACTGGGTGGGGAGGCCACTGTTGCTCCCCTCTGCCCTCCAAATGTGCCATTATGAGTAGCACCTTAGCCAAGATCTCGGAGACTAAAGCTGAGATGGCTTGAACTCAAAGGAGCAAGGATATGTCATGCCACCTAGGACTGCTAAAGACTCATACTTAAAACTCCGTAAAGAACTCATTACTTCAAAAGGTGGTGATGGTGATGGACCAGGAGAAGGTTTTGATGTGGCCAAGACAGGATGCTTGGATTGGATTTGTGTGTTTTCTACCTGTGGAAAAGTCAACCCTGATCAGTAACCTGGTGGGAGTATATTCTGAGGTGACAACCTCTGAGTTTCACTGCACTGAGCACTGGACCTGGCATCATCAGGAATAAAAGTGCCAAGATCCAGCTTTTGGATCTCCCAGGTATCATTGAGGGTGCTAATAATGGCAAAAGAACATGATGTCGAGTCATTACAGTGATCTGAACCTATAACTTGATCCTAATTGTTTGGCTTGTCCTAAAACCTTCGTGGCATGAGAAGATCACTGAAAAGTAACTGGGAGGCTTTGCCATTCCCTTGAACAGTAAAGCCCTCAATATTGGCTTTAAGAAGAAGGACAAAAGAGACCTTAACTTGACAGCCACTTGCCCTTAGAGTGAACTGGATGCTGAAACTATGAGAAATATTCCGATTGAGTACAAAATTAATAATGCAAATATGACATTGCTGATGTCATGACATGATGTCATGACATGATGGAAGGAAACAACTGATATCCCCTGTATCTATGCATTACATAAAATTGAGCAGATCTCCATTGAATAATTTTATGTCATCTATAAGGTACCTCACTGTGTACACATCTCTGTTCACCACTACTGGAATTTTTACTTTTCTTATCTTGGTATCACCTTGAACATGGAACAGCATAAAGGCCCTGATCTGATGGCTGGCTAAAAAACAAGCAAACACACAAAACAATACAAATATTACTTTGTCCACAGAGCTTTTGGCAAACTTTGATCAAGATTGTTGTTGTTGTTGTTGTTGTTGTTATATGCCATCAAGTCACTTGTGACTCATGGCTACCCTATCTACAAGGGCCCTAAACCTTGCCCTATCATGTGCCAACCTCATTGTCTCTGATACACCTACTTCCACTACCCCTATCACTGAATCAATTAATCTCATCAACGGTCTTCCTCCTGTGCTGTCCCTCCACTCTCCCAAACATGATGTCCCTCTCCAAGGACTGATCCCTTCTTGCAACATGCCCAAAGTATGTCAGATGAAGCTTCGGAACCCTGATCGAGATAGAGCATAGATTAAAGAATATGTCAAGGACACATATCATAAACCCTATAGCTTTGGGGATATCCTCTACTATGTTCTTTGCAAAATGAATATGTGATGCATTAAATCTCTAGAACTTTATATAAGATATATAATTGTCTTTGTTGCTAGTTATACTCTAACAAAAATATCACAAGCAGATAATTTTAACAAATAGGAATTTAGTGACTGAAATCTCAGTGCCAGTTCTAGAGGAAGGCTTTCATCTATTGCTTGTCTTGTTGTAATGAGTCAAATAGGAATCACAGCACCCCTGTGAACAATAGCTCTGAAACCTGACCTATCTTGAGCCAATCTCACTGTCTCTGACACATCTGCCCTCATTGCCACAGTCACTTTGTCAATCTATTTCATCCAGGATCTTCCTCTCCCCTGTTGACCCTCCACCCTTTCAAGAATGATGTTTATTCTCTTGGCAGTCCAATAGATGTTCAATACCCTTGTCCAGCACCACAACTGAAAGGCATTGATTCTTCTGCTATCATCCTTAGTCATTGTCCAGCTCTCAGATACTCAGCAAATAATTGAAAAGATCATGACTTGGATCAGTGCACTTTAGTCTCTATGCTGGCATTGCTGTTCCTTAGTACTCTGGAGAGGTCCCTGACAGCAAACTTTCCCAATGTAACTTACATCATCATCATCATCATCATCATCATCATCATCATCATCATTATTATTTTATACCGGTTTATACACAAAGTTCAAAAGGTTCATATACATTATTTTTCACACTTGATCTCTCTCCTTTCCTTTAGATTTCCTGACTGTTATTGCAAAAAGTGTTGATTGTGGACCAAGCAAGATGAAATTGTTTACAACCTCTGTCTATTCTCCTATCATAATTCTACCAACTGGCCCAGTGATGAAAGTCTTTGTTCTCTTGATGTTGATATGTAATCCATATTGAAGATTGCACTTCTTGACCTTCTTTAGCAAACCATTCAAGTCCTGCTCAGTTTCAGTGAGCAGTATATCATCAGCATATCACAGGTTGTAGATGAGTCGGTCTTCCTCCAATCCTCATGCCACATTCTTCTTCATAGAGTTCAGCCTCCCAGCTGATCTGTTTTACATAAAGATGGAAAAGATATGGAGACAGGATGTATCCCTGACACATTTCTTTCTTGATTTTGGACCATGTGGTTTTTCCTTGCTCTGTTCCTACAACTGCTTCCTGGTCTAAGTGTATGTTTCACATGAGCACAATCAAGTGTCCTATTCTTCACAGTGTTAGCCACAATATGTTGTGATCCACAGTCAAATGCCTTTACATGGTCAGTAAAATACAAATAGATATTTTCTGGTAGTCTCTGCTTTCAGCTAAGATCCATATGACATTGCCAATGATGTTGCTAGTGCTGCTTGCGACCTCTTCTAAATTCAGTTTGTATTTCAGGCAGTTCTCTGTTTATGCACTGTTCTGATAATTTTCAGATAATCTTCAGCATGATTTTGCTTGTGTATAGTATTAGTGATGTGGTTTAATGATTTACACACTCTGTTGGATCACCTCTTTTTGGAATGAGAATCATTCCGGTCAAATGACAAGGTAACTGTCCTACAGATTTCTTGGCACAACCTGTTGAGCATATCCAGGGCTACGTCTGTTTGTTGAAATATGCTAATTGGTATTCAGTTAATTCCTGGGGGTTTATATTTTTTGCCAACATCTTTAGAGCACGTTGAACTTCCTTTATCATCATTGCTTCTTGATCTTATGCTATTTCATGATTCTTCTATATCAGCCTTTTATTTATTTATTTATTTTTTTCATACAGTGACTCTGTATACTCCATCTTCTTTTGATACTTCATGGAATAACCC